AGAGAACGGAAAACAAAACATGAAATGCCTTGTCAAAATTTTTGAAACATGGCTCTCCACTCGAGCGCAGCTTCAGTCGCTCAAGCGGATCCCTTTGGTCTGCAAAAGTTCTGGTTGCTTGTAATTTATGCTCGAGCGAGACTATTGATGCTCGAGTGAGGAGTCATGCAAAGCAAGGTACGCTCGAGCACAGATTCGGCCACTCGAGCCACCATGCAATCTTTCCAAACTTCTGGGAGCCACAAATTCACGCTCGAGTGAGGCTTTCCTTGCTCGAGCGGACAAGTCGAATTCTAGGTTTTCCAAAACTCTGTTTGAGCTTCAAATTTGCATTCCAATTGATGTAACTTGCTTGTTATGACTCATAATTCACTTGTACATCTTCTAACATGATACAAATACTAAATTTACAACATTATGAAGCTCAATTTCCATGAATTAATTACATGTATACTCAATTTATACCAAAGTTATTTCCAATACTTCAAATTCATGCAACCAAAACTTATACCTCCATGAATTGTGCTTGCATGTGGAATATAACTTCGATTCTTAACTTAAGTGATACAAAAGATGATCAAAAGCATGAATCTTAATCAAAATTCAACGTGGATCATATGTTTCATTCTCAAATACACAAATTCATGGCAATCTTTTACATGCATGTTTATCATAACTTCAAATTCATCAAATGCAACTTAATTCTTGTTCTTGATTACTATTTAACTTTGAATTCACAAAATTACAAACTCAACTCACGAATTTATGCTCAATTACTCACATAGGAGCTTCATCCTTCATAATTTTAGCTAGTTCTAGAGCCTAGCCTTCCGAAACTTGAGTTCTCTTGCAAAATCTTCAAGAATGGCTCCTCTCTCTCTCTCTCTCTCTCTAAATTTGGTTCACCCTCTCTCTCTAGAGTGTAGAATCTGATTTGAGCTAAAAAATATGAGCTTAAGCATACTTAGCTCATTTATAGGCTTTCCCTAATCAGACTTAATTAGAACTAATCAATGGTACTTAATTAATTCAATTTAAACTAATTAATTCACCCCGAAACAGTTTTTAATTAAATTTCACCATAGTTTTTAAAAATCATGCTAATTGTAAAAACATAGTCAATTCTGCTTTTTGACGCCCGCACGGCCTTCAATTAAATTTTTATAGTAGAGAATCAAACAGATTTTCCTACCGTGAACAAATAGAAATTCAAAAACACATATAGTCATATAAACGGCACTCAAAATCATATTAAGCATATAACCACAACCATAATTAAGATTAATTAACATAACACGGGATAGGCTTATCACAGTCTTCCCCCCCTTTAGGACGTTTGGTCCTCCAAACTTATTTTACCTCCGTTCGGAAACAAATGTGGGTAATGAAGTCGCATTTCATCCTCTTTTTCCCATGTGGGTAATGAAGTCGCATATAACCACAATCATAATTAAGATTAATTAACATAACACGGGACAGGCTTATCACAATCTTCCCCCCTTTAGGACGTTTGGTCCTCCAAACTTATTTTACCTCCGCTCGGAAACAAATGTGGGTAATGAAGTAGCATTTCATCCTCTTTTTCCCATGTGGCGTCCTTCACATATAATCACAAAATTTATATAGATCTCACACACAATACATAAGACTCAATAAAAGACATAATTATCCAATACAAAGTTAAAGCCTCAACACGGAGGCATAACCCGGTTGTTTTGATAGAGAGGCAGACCTCGATAAAACTCTAGCGATGATCCCTGATGGCTCACCTACATATATAAAATAAAAAGGGTGAGCTAACGCCCAATGAGTAATATTAAAGTAAAGAGGTTAATGAATGATGTCCTTAACATTAGGAGAACATATTTCATAAATCTGAAACGTATCTTAAATCATTTCAAAAGAAACATTTACCGTGTCATAATCCATGCCTTTCTCAAATGGAATACATATCTTAAACCATTACAAAACATTTACATGGTACGTGGTACGCTCACTTATACCAAAAGGATAGAAGCACCTTTCAAAATAGGACATCCACTCATGCATATAAAATAATACTTCGTAACATGAATCATATAGTGATGTAAAAACATTTGCATTCATTTCATATGTTCTGAACGACCTCGGGTCCACGTCTAACAAAACGGCCTCAGGCCCAATCATATTTCAAAACGACCTTAGGTCCAAACGTATCATATCGTATCATGGAGTAAATGGAACATCGACATGTCCCCACCTCTCCTCGGGCTCAATTCATGTTTGTATGGATCCAAGAGGTGACTCGAACGAACTCTAGTGGTGACTCCCACTGTAGCACTTAGTTTCGTATAGCACTTTGTTTCATATTAAAAGTCAATGGGTCTTAAAGACCGAACAATCATGCCATAGCATAAACGAAACAGATAAACATAACGGCCTTGGGCCCACCATATCATACTATAAATAATTCACGTTTCTTGTTCATAATTCATTTCGCATTTCTTGAAAACTTGTGCATTTTGACAAAATACGATATTTAGGGAATCATGTCATACATAAATCAAAATAGATAATGGAAAACATATCTTTACTATACTATCACTCACAGTGATGGGCTTCTGGTAACAATGGGATGATGTCCTCGTCTTGACCTACAAACACAATGCACAAAGCCTAATATGAGAATATAACCGATCCCTTACTTGTTCTCTTTGATCAATTAGTTATATCGGTTCTAAGCTCATTAGTCTTCACTAGATCATAATCTATGTCCAAGAAAATAGGAGGAAACGAAAGGAAACTAGGTTAGGACGGAAAATAACATGAAACGGTTAAAGAGAAACTGAGCGGTCTTCACTAATTTGGGCATATCTATTTGTGTATTTAGAATTTGGGTGAGAGACCACTACCATTGGAAACTAGACTTTTGGGCTTGAGTTTAGGCTCAAGAATCACTAAAATGGAGTCCGGATGAGAGAGATATGCTTATTTGAAGTTGGCTGAAACAGGGTTGTCCCGCACCTGCGAGAAACAGGGCCGCACATGCTGGACAACGTACTTTTTTAGCAGAATCAGATTTGCTGTTGGAAATGGACTGCCACACGTGCGGCAAGCCCCGGCGCACGTGCAGCTCTGGGCAAAAACCAGTCCGAAAATGGCTTCTTGACTTGGAACCCCTCATTTTCAAAATTAAACTTCAAGTTCATGTAAATTAAAGCCCAAAACTCTTTAACACATGTTAAATTTCACATTCTTAGCTTCCATAAAAAATCATGACTCCAAAATACTACTCAATTTCCTAATTACAAGAACAAGATTAAGAATCAAAACACAAAAGCATAAAGTAAACATGGTTGGGGGTCCAAAGCTTACTTACATGGTGAAATTCTCTTTAGCCTCTTTAAGAGCCATAAAACTCCACAAGAAATTAAGTTGTAACATAAATTCATGCCATGTACAAAGATTCACATCTTCTTGCTTGAAGAAACAAAACTCATACATATAATCATAGATGACCCAAGAAACTCACTCTTTAACTTATGATCTTCAAGTATTGAGAGGGAAAATCTTACCTTAAGCCTTTAACACCACTTGTTCTTGCATAATCATGATGAATTCAAGCCAAATCTTAGATTTCCTCTTTCATTCCTACACTTTCTCCCTTCTTCTCTTCAATCTCTTTAATTTATCTTCAAACCCCCCATGAATGTTGCTCTCTCTTAGAGAAGCTTTGTCTCTCCTTCACTCACTCTCTCTCTCTCTCTCTCACGGTTCTCTCCCTCTCCCTTAGATATTTTAGACTTCAATTGATGAGTTCAACAACTCATATCATATGTGTCTATATACATAAAAGCTTATCACAAGTAGGCAGAGCCAAACGCGCTCTTACGAATTGTACGAAATTAAATTTCAATTAAACTTCCCAGATGACTCTAAAAATTATACTGATCATAATTATGTACTCTGTTCTGGTTTCTGAAGCCTCTAAGGTCTTCAATTTGTAGCGCAAAGTTAACTACCCAAACACACCTTAATGAATCAGACGAAATAAATTTCCAATTAACTTTCCCAAATGGCTCTAAAAATTCTCATTAGCATATCCATGTACTCAATTTTGATTTCTGGACCCATAAAGGTCGTCAATTTCAGTTTTAAAGTCGTAACTCAATAGATAATTCTTCAATTCGAACAGATATCATTAAATTAAAGTACATTAACCCACAATTAAATAGAGATAATTCCTGATACGCATTTTGTGGTCATTACATCCGCATAATTCTTCTGCCGGATCTGTGCTGTCTTGAGCCTTTGTTGGATGATTTTAATCTTCTCGGAAGTGTCTTGCACAATTTCGGACCCAAGTAAAGCCCTATCTCCAACCTCTGTCCAACAAATTGGCGATCTACACTTCCTGCCATACAAGGCTTTGTATGGTGTCATACCAATGCTAGAGTGGAAGTTGTTGTTATATGCAAATTTTGCTAGTGACAAATAATCCTCTCAACTCCCTTGGAAATCCAAGGCACACATTCTGAGCATGTCCTCTAAAGTCTGTATGGTCCGTTTTGATTGACTGTCTGTCTATGGGTGGAATGAGGTACTAAACCTCAATTCTGTTCCCATAGCTCTTTGTAAACTTTTCCACGGTCTGGATACAAATTTCGGATCCCTATCCGAGACAATAGATACCGAAACCCCATGTAAACTAACAATTTCATCAACATATATAGTGGCCAATCTATAAGCATCAAAAGTAGTCTTCACAGGTAGAAAATATGCAGATTTAGTCAGTCAATCAACTATGACCCAAATAGAATCCGTACTCTAGAAGTTCGAGGTAGTCCAATAACAAAATCCATGGTCACATGTTCCCACTTCCATTCCAGGATAGAGAGAGGTTGAAGTAGACTGCCTGGTTTCTGATGTTCAGCCTTAACTTGCTGACATTAAAGTCACTTGGACGCATACTCTGCAATTTCCTTCTTCATTTTGGGCCACCAATAGCTTTGCTTCAAGTCCTAATACATTTTGTTGTTACCCGGATGCATAGCAAACATTGACTTGTGAGCTTCATCTAGGATTCTCTTCTTTAATTCAGAAATATTTGGGACATACATTTGGTTTCGAAATCTCAACATTTCACCATCAATACTGAATTCTGATTTCTGTTTCGTTTCAAACTCATCAATTATTGTTTTGAGGTTCTCATCTTCTCGTTGCCTTTGTTTGATTTCAGTAATTATTGCTGGCTCGACAGAAATGGCTTTCATCAACCTGGCTTGTTCCTATAACACGACTTCGATTTTAACTTTCTCAAAGTCTTGCAAGATTTCTTTTTGTTCTGTGAGTAGCCAGCTAGGTTCCCCGTTGATTTTCTGTTCAGTGTGTCGGCAACTGTATTGGCCTTTCCTGGGTGATACTGATTCTGAAGGTCGTAATCTTTTATCAGTTCAAGCTATCTTCTTTGCCGCATGTTCAACTCTTTCTAAGTAAAGAAGTACTTCAAACTTTTGTGATCCGTGTAGACTTCGCATTTTGCCCCATTCAAATAATGCCGCTAGATTTTCAAAGAAAACACAACTGCGGCTAACTCCAAATCATGTGTTGGGTAATTCTTTTTATGTGGTCTCAATTGACGAAAGGCATAGGCGATCACCCTTCCATTCTGCATTAGTACATAACCCAAACCTTTATAAGAAGCATCACTATATGTCACAAAGTTTTCCACACCTGAGGGCAATGTCAAAACTGGTGCAGTGGTTAGTCTTGTCTTCAATTCCTGAAAGGCAGACTCTCTTTCATCAGTCCACTTAGATGGTTGTCCTTTGCGTGTGAGTTGGGTAAGTGGCATAGCTATTTTCGAAAAATCCTTTACAAACCGTCTATAATGCCCAGCCAAGCCCATGAAACTGTGGACTTCTGTTACATTCATTGGAGTAGGCCAATTCACAATCACCTCTATCTTCTGTGGGTCTACTGAAATCCCCTCCTTGTTGATTCCATCCAACCAAAATTCACATTTCTTTAGTTTGGCAAATAATTTCTTTTCTCTAAGTGTTTGTAAGACAATTCTCAAGTGGTATTCATGTTCAAGTCTAGTCTTTGAATATATCAAGATATCATCAATAAAAATTTCCACAAAAACATCAAGGTAAGTCTTAAAAATTCGGTTCATTAGGTCCATAAATGTCGTAGCAACATTAGTCACCCCAAATGGCATAACAAGAAATTCATAATGGCCATACCTTGTTCGAAACACAGTTTTCTCAACATCCTTTGCTTTTACCTTCAACTGGTGGTACTCGGATCTCAAATCAATTTTGGAAAACACTTGTGATCCTTGTAACTGGTCAAACAAGTCATCAATACGAGGTAAGGGATATTTATTCTCTATCGTTACCTTATTCAATTCACGATAGTCGATACACAACCGCAAGGTTCCATCTTTCTTTTTCACAAATAATATCGGCACACCCCATGGTGAGGTACGTGGTCGAATAAACCGTTTGTCAAGTAGGTCTTGCAATTGTTCTTTTAGTTCTTTCATTTCAGCAGTAGCTATTCTGTAAGGGGTTTTTGAAATAGGCTGAGTGCATGTCACAACATTAATAGTAAACTCTATTTTCCTGTTAACCAATTCCCTTGGCAATTCATCTGGGAACACATCTGAAAATTCTTTACCAACAGAAATACTATTCAGTTTAACATTCATAGATTATTCAGACAACACACAACACAAATAGCCCTGACACCCTTTTTCTGATCAATTTACATGCTTTCATTACAGATATCAAATAAGGTGGTGGCACTACACCATTACCCACAAACATGATTTCTTCATGTCTCGATGGTCTAAATACGACTCGTTTCGTTACACAATCAATGGTGACACAAGATTTAGATAACTAGTCCATGCCCAGAATTACATCAAAGTGTCTAAAATCCAAGGGCAGTAGATCTACATACAAAGTTGCATTCCCAATATGCATATCGCAAAATCGACACACAGATGTACACAACACAGATTCCCAGGATGGAGCAGATACACATAACAAATATGGTAATGATTCTAGAGGTCTACTCAATCTAGATGCAAATGCATAAGTCACAAAGGAATGTGTTGATCCGGAGTCAATTAATATAAAAGCATCCTAATTACATATAGAGATGGTACTTGAGACAACGGCTTCTGCATTCCGTGTATTGCCCGGAATGAGTGCAGAGACTCTCCCCTATCTCACAGTGTCTCCGGCGGTGGTAGGCCTCGTAGTGTTCCCGGGTTTTGGGATTGATACAGTTGAGCTAGCAGCTAACTTCCCACTATTTTGTTTATAATCCCTGGCCATATGCCCTGTTTTACCACATTTAAAGTAGGCCCCTGACACACAATAGCAAATCCCGCGATGTCTTTTACTACAAATGTTGCACATTGGAGACATGTCTCGAGAAGAATTAGAAGTACTTAAGGAGCTCGTATTTTGTTTCTTTGAACCCTTTTCTTTGAGAAAAAGCCTTGCCTTTTACTTTTCTAATCAGACGGTGATTTGCTCTGCCTGGCTAGATTAGCTACTGATATTATGGCCCGATCCAATACATCAATGTAAGTTTCTAGCTTTAGCACATTCACCTTATCTAAGATATCATCTCGAAGGCCTCCCTCAAAATGTCTCGCTTTCTTATAGTCGGTATCAACCATGTGTGGTGCAAATCTGGCCAATTCAGAAAATTTGGCCTTGTACTCTACTACTGACATGTTGTTTTGCTTGAGTTTCATAAACTCTGACACTTTCCTGTCCCGGACACATTGTGGGAAATATTTGTCATAGAAAATTTCCAAGAATCGTGTCCAGCCAATATCTTAATTACTCTCACGGATCAACATCCACCACCTCCTTGCTTCGTCTTCTAATGTGAAGGTGGCTAGCATTTTATGTGTTTCTAGACAAGGAAACACTTCAAATAGCTTTTCTATGCCAAGGACCCATGCTTCAACCTTCAATGGATCCAATCCCCCATGAAACTGCGGCGGTTTTGTCTTCTTGAATTCTTTGGTGAGAGGTATTGTCTGGTTATCATTTTGTAGGTCTTGCATAGGCGGTTCCGGAGGTGGAGGCAGAGGGTGTGGCTGTTGCCATTGTTGTTGCCACTGTTTTCGTTGTCTTAATGCTTTGTTGTCTCAATGTTTCTACCATTTCCTGAATCAATCTTTTCATCATATCCATTCTGGCAATAGAGGACTCCTCTAACTCATCACCTCTTGTTCTCACCATTATCTGATTAAACTTGCATTATTCTTTATACAAAATATTCACAAGCATGCATATACAAATGGGCATACATATTCAAATAATTCACAATGCAAGTATCACAAAACACATAGCACGTAGTCATTCGTTTCGGAACATTTAAGCATATTCTCGATGTCATCAAGTTCATACTTATCACATGAATGCATTCTAGATCTTTTCTAGATGCTTATTGCTTATTAGGTCAGGTGTGTGAGTTATTAACTCGTGCTCTGATACCACTCTGTCATGACCCGATCCCATCCCTAAGGATTAAGATCATAATCGGCCAATAATCATGAGATTATCTACGGCCTCAAACAATTTCAGAAATGTGAAGGGGCCAAAACAGAAGCAAATTTAAAAACTCTGTCCAATGAGTTATGCTTACGTGGTATAACAAAATCATTCTAAAAATATTTCATAAAAACTCACACGTATATGCAGAATTAACGTCTTACACATCCAGGAACTTCAAACAGCTAGTCAGCCAAACAAAAGTATATATATACATATGTGATCCATCATATTCACCAAGATAGCAAAAAGTGGTAAACAAAATAACAAAAATAACGTCTCATGCGTGAGACATTCGGGCTGACTCCACAAAATCGACTTCCTCTCATATTCTTCACTGAGGTTGGGTTTGGACATCTCTTTGCTCACCTGCACACACATAAATGAGAGTGAGCGATAGCCCAGTGAATAACATCAAAATAAAGAATTTACATGAATGAAATTCGTAACGAACATAGCAAACGGCCTTAGGCCCATTCATGTTTCTATCTAGTACATTATACGGCCTCGGGCCGAAACATATCAAACAGCCTTGGGCCCAATTATTTCGTGTCAAATGGCCTCAGGCCCAAACATTCATGTCAAACGGCCTTTGGCCCAATCGTTCACGTCAAATGGCCTTTAGCCCAATCATTTATATCAAACGGCTTTTGGCCCAATCATCTATACCAAACGGCCTTTGGCCCAATCATTAATATCAAACGGCCTTTGGCCCAATCATCTACATCAAACGGCCTTTATGTGTGTTTCGTACTCATGATCATGATCGTATTTGTATTCACTTAGTCTTAAACAAATGACTGACATTTAGAATACTCATTCTTAATTCAAACATACAAATCCATAAGGCATATACAGAAGTAACGTTTGGAAAATAACATACTTGAACATATCTTTACTAAGATATCACTCACAGTGTTCTGCTAGTGGATTTTCCCTTGCGCTTGACCCTACACATTTCATAACATATCAGGTTACAAATGATTCAATCCGTTCTTAATTTATCTATCTCTTAGGCCTCTTTCTTATCCTTTAGGTCCTTTACAATGCCCAATGCATGCATAAGAGTGCTTAGAAATGAACGAGAATGGAAAACAAAACATAAAACGCCTTGTCAAAATTTCTGAAACAGGGCTCTCCGCTCGAACGAAACTTTGGTCGCTTGAGCAGACCCCTTTGGTCTGCAAAAGCTGTGGTTGCTTGTAATTTACGGTCGAGCGAGGAGTTATGCAAAGCAGGGTACAGTCAAGCACAGATTCAGCTGCTTGAGCCACCATGCAATCTCTGCAAAACTTCTGGGAGCTAGAAATTCACACTCGAGCAAGGCTTTCCTCGCTCAAGCGGACAAGTCAAATTCTGAGTTTTCTAGAACTCTGTTTGAGCTTCAAATTTGCATTCCAGTTGACGTGACTTGTTTGTCATGACTCATAATTCACTTGTACATCTTCTAACATGATACAAATACTAAATTTATAACATTATGAAGCTCAATTTCCATGAATTAATTACAAGCATACTCAATTTATACTAAACTTATTTCTAATACTTCAAATTCATGCAACCAAAACTTATACCTCCATGAATTTTGCCTGCATGTGGAATATAACTTCCATTCTCAACCTAAGTGATACAAAAGATGATCAAAAGCATGAATCTTAATCAAAATTCAACATGGATCATATGTTTCATGCTTAAATACACAAATTCATGGCAATCTTTTACATGCATGTTTATAATGACTTCAAATTCATCAAATGCAACTTAATTCTTGTTCTTGATTACTATATAACTTTGAATTCACAAAATTACAAACTGAACTCATGAATTTATGCTCAATTACTTACCTAGGAGCTTCAACCTTCACAATTTTAGCTAGTTCTAGAGCCTAGCCTTCCAAAACTTGAGTTCTCTTGCAAAATCTTCAAGAATGGCTCCTCTCTCTCTCTAAATTCGGTTCACCCTCTCTCTTTAGAGTGTAGAATCTGATTTGAGCTAAAAATATGAGCTTAAGCATACTTAGCTCATTTATATAGGCTTTCCCTAATCAGACTTAATTAGAACTAATCAATGGTACTTAATTAATTCAATTTAAACTAATTAATTCGCTCCAAATCAGTTTTCAATTAAATTTCACTATAGGTTCTAAAAATCATGCTAATCGTAAAAACATAGTCAAATCTGCTTTCTGACTCCTCCACGACCTTCAATTAAACTTTATAGTAGAGAATCAAACAAATTTTCCTACGGTGAACAGATAAAAGTTCAAAAACACATATAGTCATATAAATGGCACGCAAAATCATATTAAGCATATAATCATAATCATAATTAAGATTAATTAACATAACACGGGTGTAGACACCCCATTTTTGACCGACCTTAAGACTCAGACGTCATCGATTGAGCGATCGGTGATCGCGCATGTTTGTGCTCATTTTGAGTTTCCGGAGTTTTCGGCTGAGCGCCTTGCCTCCGGGCCTCTAAGCTCTTTGTGTTTTGGCTCGGTTTGTGGACCAAGCCTTGTTGACCTTGCCTGGAGGGAGAGAGAGGTCTGTAGACCACTTTTTGTGGTAGTAGACCACTTTTCCCTCTGGTAGGCCAGTTTCCATATCGGAATCCATAGTGACCATTCCAAGCTAGGACAGGTTGCTTACCTGATTGTAGGTTGTTTGAAACTGCTACGTGCGTAGTGAAACCCTAGCTCCTGACAAGATAGGATAGGGAAACCCTACCCCTCCATAGGGGTGTTTTGGCTCTCACTTGCTTGCTATGTGCTTTTAGAGTGTGCCTCAACAGGAATGCATGTATCAGTTTGCTAGTCTGGATATCAGGCCTGAGGGCATCAGTATTTTGGGGGAATCAGTTTTACCTGGGGGTATCAGTTTACAGGCAAAATTTGGGGCAGAATCCAATGAAGAGTATAGTCATTTAGCTATGCTCAAAATCTGTTCTGGTGAAATTGGGCTGAGATACTGCATGTTTTCTCTTTTGCAAGGTAGGTCCTGGAACTGTAGTTTCAAAAGGCTCCAATATCCCCTGGGTACACCGGACTTGTGTTGATAGACTTTATCAGGTCAGAGATTCAGTTCAAGGGCAACCAGTGTTTCCTTTGCTGAAGCAAGGCAAAGAAAGGCCAGCTAAGGCTCACCGGTTCATCTGATCCGACAGTCACTAGTTACATCACCTTTGTTCAAACTTAGAAGACCGTGATGGTACAGAGTTCGGAAGAAATTGTGGGCATGGTAACAGCATCAAACCAGGGAATCGCCATGCAGGGTAAGACCGATGCCGAAATGCAACGCCCATCTGGGGAACCTACCACACATCCGGTCTCGGAACCCCAATCATCTCAAATACCTGAACCCACTACTTCTGAGCTGATGAGGATGATTGAAGATCTTCAGAGAACAGTGGCGGATTTAGCCTGTGGGGTTTTGGCTCCATCATCAACCACATCGTCTACTAGGGATTTCACACCAAAAGGCTCCCCAATCTTGGGACGAGCTGCATTGGAAGAAGGCCAATCTCTTAGCAAAGTGGAGGCCAGTGGTAAGAACAAGGTAGGGACAGGCATTGGTCCTCATGAACACCTTCAGTGGGCTATTGAGGCTTTGAAAGCCGATGGGCTGAACAAACATCAAATGATTGCAGTTGTTGCACAGATTGTGGATGGCACTTTTGCCACTCAGAATGAGAGGAGTCTGAGTCAAGGAACAAACCGAGGGAAGGGCCATCGTACCAGAAACGTTCCTTTCAGCTCTAATCTTGCACTCGGAAGAGATCAGCAAACCAAGTCAGCACTTGCCGACCCCTTTGTTAGTGCATCCAGTAAAAATCCACAAACCTCAAAATACCAACCTCGAGGTTGAAGGGTCTTCCATGCCCTCTATATGCCTTTGTTCAAAGCTTTCCAAATCCTTGTTGGACAAGGCCATCTCAAGCCCCATGAGTCTTAGCCTCTCCTGAATCCCCTTCCAGCTAAGCATGATGCTGTCCAGTACTATGCCTACCATCAACAAACCAGTCATGGCACTGACAATTGCTTTCGTCTTCGCCACGAAATACAAGATTTGATTGACAACGAGGCCATTGTCGCACCAGGTCCTGTAAAGTCTATCAGTACTGGATCGATGAATGTGGGGGATAATGTGATTATGTGATCGGGGGATGAACCACCTGTGGATGACGCTCAGTTTACTCTGGATGTGGTGTATAGCACGCACTGTTTTGAGTATTTTGCGAATGTTGTTTATTTTACTTCCTGACTTGGGTATTGAGTCAGTTTTGTTGTGTTGTTTTGAGTTAGTCTTTTTGCACTGAGTCAGTCGAGTTAATCTTGTTGCATCGAGTCTGTCTTGTTGTGTCAGAATTGGGTGATTTCAGGGGTGTTACTTCGGACATCACTTGTTTGTTTTGTGTTTGTCTTTTCGCTTTCTTTTGAGTTTGTTTCTACCTTGGAGCCAATTGTGCCAACAAATTTGAATGAAACGGCAGTGGTTTTCACACTTTT